AGCTAAGAGTGTTCTGTGAGCACCTTTGCTTTGGGCTGGTATGCTCTCATAAATCAAAGACAGTATAGACCCACAGGGGGTCTGGCACTTCACAGGTCTGTCTTTGAGTGTCTCCTTATCTATGCAGTCACATAAAAAGGACACTTCCCTTGCCCTACACAACAGTTTGCCCCAGGTTGACTCCCTGGGCTTCACAAACCAGTGAGGGCCCTAACACCTCTTCTCAACTAAACATAATAATTTGTGAATTGGTTAATTCACTGGTCCCCAAGGAATTAAAAAATGGGTTCTTTTAAGTTTCCCCTTGAGGTTTTAAGACGACCACTAGCCTAAGTGGTCTACTCCCTCTCTTGTCCCATTTCAGGATCCCAGGGTTATGATAAAGTGGAGAATCAGGGAGACTCCTAAAGACAAGGCAGTTTGGGAGGCAGGGAACTGCAGAATGCTAGGAAAAGCATTTCTAGTGCAGTTTTTCTACAAAACACCAGGGCCCAGTCTGGGATCCACGTAATGAATACACTGATGGACAAAATGTGCATGATTTGGATCCCTTCATCAACGGTATGACATAGGGGGAAAGAACACTCTCCGCACTAGAGGAAAAAAACTGAAGCTCAGGTAAGCAGAGGGACTTGCCCAAAGCACGCAAACGTGTGTGTTTGTGTGTGCGTCTGTGCGTGTGTGTAAAAGCTACAACAGGGTCTTCTGGCCCCTTGACACAGAGAAAACACAGCTTTTAATTCTTCATCTGTAATTACAGGTTTGACCCCAGCCTAGTATCTCATGTTTATAGTGGATTTTTCATCTGAAGTTTACGCAGACTGAGCCAGTTTGGCTCTAGAAAGACTGCCCTGAAAGTCGAGATGAACGGGTGGAGTGAGAGATCAAGGCATTCTGCCGGGCTGGGGGATGAAATATGTGCCTCAGAGACTCTCCTCCAAAGGGTTAGGATCGCAACAGACCTCCTGGCCTAGGGCAGGGCCCGGCCGCACCAGCCCTACCGCCTCAGATCTAAGGGACCTGGGTCGGGCCGCCGCTTTGGACCGGACACTCCAAAGTAGGGGACTCGAGTCGAAGGTCTCCACTCGCATTAACCAGAGCACCCCTTCCAGGTCTGCGTCTCTAGCGCTCATATACACCAACGGCGAGATGTGCAGAGCAGGCCAGGGCGCCCTGAGTTCCCAGTCCTTGAACGCAGAACGCTGAAGCGGACAGCGACTCTGCAGCCTCGGCGCCAAGAGTTCTTTCTGAGCCTGCGCGCGGAGCAGCACCGGGAGCGTGCGCAGTGAGCAAGGAGGCAGGAGGCGGGCGGGTGAGTGGGTGGGTCCTAAGTAGGCGGGGCGAGTACGCCGCGGGCAGGGGCTGGTGCCCTGAAGCCCTAAGGGCAGGGAAAACCCGAGACCTTCTAAAGCACCAGAGGAGTTGGGAGGAGAATGCTGCCGGGCTACGCCTTTCACTCAGTACACCTGCCATCGCTTCGGGCCGGCGGATCCTGTCGATGGAGACGAATCGATTCCTGTTACCTCTGTGGGCAGAATCCGTGGGCCGGAGTTGGGAAGGGTGGGTATCGTCGCGCTAGGCGGGACCCATCTGTGACATCATAAAGCTTTGAAAATAGAATGCTGTAGTAGACATAGTGGAGCCCTGGCACTGTAGTTCCATGCCCGTGTAACGTCACTGGGCCCGCGGTAGAGGTCGTGACGTCACAGTACCACAGTGCTTCTGGAGAAGGAATACGACGTCTTTGAGCCAGTTTCGAATACCAACGTTCTAGAGGCCTTAGGATATCACAGATTTCAAGTTCATGGAGCTGAGTGATATCCAGGAGGTATCCAGGAAAGCATTCTTTCCAGACCATTCCACTGCGTCCCCAGCGGCAAGGAGGTACGCAGGAAAGCATTCTTTACAGCGCTGCAAAACTCTAACTACCTTCTGGAAGGAGGAGGTGGAACCTAACCGTCTTTCTCCTCTCAAAAGAAGCCCCTTCAGGCTGTTAGCACCTGATCTCTTCCCAGGGCACCATGCAGCTCCAGGCTGCCCCAGGGGAGGGTCTTTTGTGCCTTCTACTCCCTCTGCTATGACTATGGCTGAGGCTGTAACTACCCTACCCATGCACACAAATCACAGGCTTTAGAAGGTCTGAGAAGGACCCCAGCTGAACTCCAGCTGTCTGATCGCCAGCACCACCAGCCTCTTTCATGGCCCCAGCCATGCTGGGCAATAGACACAGTAGGTCTGAAGAAGCTTTTTGTGCTGGCGAGTGGGATGAGGAGAGGCGGGATGGAGAGAGGTGAATGAAGCTGGGACTTTCCAGGATGTAAGAGAAAAGATTGGTGCAGACAAGAAAACCCACCCTGCGTTTTCTGGCCCTCTCGATTGTTCTTTTTATGTGACCCACACTGAGCATGAGCAGTAACCTGGGACACTACATCAATTTTCAACCACATCCCCCCGGAATTGTTGCCTAGGGCCCTTTCCACCTGTAGTTGCTGTTTTTACACAATCTATGAATCATTGCAATGAGTTATGCTGAGAAGTGGTTTCTCTGTGACCATTGGTGGAGCAAGCCAAGGCCTTCTGCATGGGCTGAGGGTCCCTGGGCAGCTCCCTTCCACACTCCCTACCCTCCATTAAAACACTCGACACTGGAAATACATTCTTTGGAGGATGCACACTTGGTGTTGAAAGTCTGCCAGTTGCAGGCCTAGGGTGTGGTTGGGATTCATGGTGCTGGCAGTGGGATCGACCAGCAAGCATAAACATCCCTGGCAAAACTCCTCATTTCACAGTGTTTATGATGTCCTGAGGCCCGGAGACCTTCAGAGGGTCTGTGTGTACTGGGAGGTGGAGGGATGTGAGGGGCAAGGGGACATGAGTGATTGTCCATCTAAGAAAAGCAGAATCCAGGAAAGAGCAAAGGGACTAGAGAGGGCTCTTTAATCTCAGATCCTCAGAAGTGTCCAAAGCCATCCTTAGCACGCGTATGTGGCGTGTGTAGGAGTGTGTGTCTATGTGTGTATACCCACACGCTTGTCTCTCTTGGAACAACCACAACCCACAACCTTATGCAGCTTCATGAAGCAACTAATGTGACCCTGCAGTTGGCCAAAGCACAGCCACGTCCAAGCACAGACCTTTCTATTGCCTGTTCTGATTTGACCCAAGCCATAGACGGCCGAAACCTACGGACTAATCCTTCTTTCCCACACGCAGGACCCACTCCTCAGGAAGAGGGACTTCATTCTCTTCTGGGCCATGACCCAGGTGGAAGAGGGATTGGGGTCTTGTCCAACTAATGGAGAGCCTTCAGGCCAATCTAGACCCAGCAGCACCCTGCCCCTCTTTCCTGGTGGGCCAGGGGCCAGGCAAGAAGATTTTGAGGACAAGACCAGACACACACAGAGATAAGTTGTGGACAAGGTCCGCAGCAGGTAATCGTGTTTCACCGGGTTGTGAGCAGGACACAGTGAAGTGCCCCAAGTCCTAGGCCGCCCCTCCACGCCTGTCCAGCAGGGGGCAGCGCGGCTCTGAACGCGGTGGACAAAGTTCCTCCGGGCTGGCACGCCCCGCCACGGTGCCAAATTGGTGAGGAGTTCTCGCCTGCCCAGGGCCTGGAGCGTTCCCAGAGGAGGTGGGGACAGACAGGGCAGCGAAAGGAGAGAGTGTTTTAACTCCTGCAACCCCGGCTCGCTTTCTCCTTCCGCATGCTGCAGGGAATCTCTGCCCAGTCGCCTCCGCGCCGGCAGCGCACTGAGCACTTAAGCCCGGGAGGCCGCGCCGGGCTTGGGAAAGGCCACGGGCGCCACCGCCTGCGCGGTCCCGCAGTCAGGACGCTAGATGTGGAAGAGCCCCGCCCCGCCCCAGGCAGGAGAGTCCCCGGCCCGGCCTCTAATTGTGGGAAAACTAGACACCCCGGGGAAGGTTCAGTTTGTGGAGGGTGGAACTCAGATTTCTCTTCCTCCCAGGGCGCCCGCCCCCGCCATTCCTGACAAGGCTTTAAAATTGTAGAGAATCATCGCTGTGGAGCCGTGATCCCGAGAGGGGACAAATCCCAACCAAAGAATTGTGCCTAAGGGATCCTACGCGAAGGAGAGATGGGCTTTGGGGAGGCAGCAGTGATTGGGTATGTTCAGCCTGATGTTGGGACCCAGGAGAACAGGGGATAGTGCTGGTCCTGAAGGCGAATCTTTCCCACCCCGAAGTAGAAGCCAGAGGGCGGGGCGGGGGGTGATATTCTGTTCCCTTCCCTTAGCAGACCCTAAGCGACTGCGGCACCGGAGATGCTGGGATTTCTCTGGGCCAGTGTGCTGGCCACAGGCTCAAGTTCCTTATAAAGTCACAGTCCTTTGGAGGTGAGGAGCAGGGAGACTGAGACCTTAACATTGAGGCGGAAGAGAGAAGCAAGAAAATAAGTACGTGGTGGAGCAGAAGCAGACCAACAACGCGACAGGGAGGGTTTCTCCATCCATCCCAGCCCTGTCCTACTAATAGTGAGGGCTGGGGAACCGAACGGACTGGAGGACAGCTGAGAAATCTGTGCCCCTCAGGGAGAAGAGCCACCTGGCTTCCAGCATTTGAGAGGGAAATTACCTACCCTGCAATGCCTGTAAAATAACCGTTTATTTAATAGTTAAAAAAAAAAAATCTCCAGTGATAAATGTCCGTTACCGATGGTCAGCATAAAGTGCCAATCGCAATACAACGCCCGCCCGGCTCCGGGCCGAGGGCTGCCTCGCGGTGCAGCGGCGGCGGAGCAGGGGAGCTGCGGCCGCCGCCTCCTGCCCCCAGGCCCCCCGCCCCCGCCCTGCCTTCGGAGTCCCCGAGCCCTCAGCTGGCAGCGCGGCGGAAGCTGGGAGAAGACGCTCCTGGTCTCGCTGTCCCCGGCCCGGGCGGCTGAAGCAGATACACGGATTACACTTTTGCAGGCTCCCGGGGTGGGAAGGGGACCGGAGAAAGGGCTGGAAGCTGCCAGGGAGCAGAACTTCTTTTCCTCTCCCCTCCTTTCCGCAGTCAGTTACAAGCTTATATGGTCAAAGGAAGAAATAATAAAGAAAACGTACAAAATAACAATAGAAAAAGTAATACTTCTGGGAGAGACGCCACTGCGGCTCTGCGCAGCTTTCGTTCTTTTTTTAATGCAGTTTCCCTTTCGACACGTGAGTACCGCCTTTTGGCCAAGAGTTTAGCGGCGTCCACGGGGAGCCGCCCCAGGAGGTCAGGGTCATGGCCCGGGAGGGGCTGTGGAGTGCCGCGCGCGCCAGGGACCCAGGGGACAATATTGGGGTAGGGGACCGTCCCTAGCGCCTCTCCTGCTGTCCACCGAAGTCGCCGTCAGGTTTCTTAGGTCCCTCAGAGAAGGTCCTTCTGGAAGAAGAGTCACCTTCAAGCCCAGGGGTCCTGGTAACCTGGAGACTCTATTTAGCATTTGATCTTGGAGGTTTTGAGCTCCTTCACCTGTGAGTGTAGCGTCTTGTGGACAGCCAGAGTCCTGGACTGGCAGAATCCTTTCCCGCACTCTTGACACTTGAAAGGCTTCTCTTTGGAGTGAATATATCTGAAGGCAGAAACAGAAAGTTAATCCTTGCAAAACCATGCAATGTTGCAAACAATTGTCCCAGATCCCCTCCCACTGCTGAGGGGCTTGCCCTCATAGGAAACGGGGAAATTTGGGTACCAAATGTGGGTGGCAAAATGCTGAGTTTGTGGACAGAGTGGGGAGATGGAGAGGTTTGGGCAAGTGGGATGGGTAAACAGGTCAAACCAAACAGACCGTCTGCCTTCTAGAAGAGGAGGAACAAGTTGAGCCTCCTTCTAAGTTCTGGTCAACCCTCAAGGTCAGTCAAGAGAGCCAGAGTGAGACAATTTGCTAAAGCTGTGCTATCCAGAGGGTGGCTGATAACATATGTGGTTATTAAAATTACTTAAAAATCAATAAAACTATGCCTTCAGTTTCTCAAGCACAGTGGTCACACATTTCACGAACTTAATTTTCACATATCACATTTTCCTTCACATCAGAAATTTCTCTAGGATAGCCCTAAGGGTGGAGGAGGGAGCTGAGGGAATCACGTTCTTGCCTGGAGAGTAAAGAACCTGACATAGGTCTTGTTCATCCCCACATTTTCTCTGGTCACGCTCCAAAACTTATCCCTGAACTTTCTATGGTTTCCTTCTGATTTTAGGGAATTCACAGAAGACAGAAGCTCAGGAGACTTGGAGCCAGCAGGGGGTCTCATGAATCTCATTAGAGAGAAGGAAAGTGAGACCAGAAGGAGTCTGAGAGCTTTCTCTCCGACCACCCACAGTACCGCACCTGTGATCCCGTAGGTGGTCTTGCCTCCGGAAGGCTTTGTGGCAGATGTCACAGGTGTAGGGCCTTTCATCCGTGTGTGTTCGCTCGTGGATAAGTAAGTTATAGGACTTGGTGAAGTGGCGGCCACAGAACTTGCAGACGAACTCCTTCTTGGTCTTAGAAGGCAGACGTCCCCTAGTGGGCTTCTTCTCTGGAGACAGCTTGGTCACATCCAGGAGGGCTCCCAACCCACCTGTGGGGGAACCAGGGCCCTCCCCCCGGCCAAGCTTGGATGGATCTTCTTGCGTGGCAGCCAAGGCCAGGTTGGCGAAATCAAAGCGTGGTTTGGTCTTGAGCGCTGGACCACTGCCTCCAGCAGTGATCTCCGGCTTGGGGTGGATGACATGAGGGAACCAGGGAAAGGCTGGCAGCTGGAAGCGTGCATCTACCAGGCTGGACACAGCACCAGGCACTTTGGAAAAAGAGGAGCGTGGCAAATGCATGGCTGGATAGCCCAGCGTCCACTGGTGCAGGTGCACAGCATGCAATGCACTGAAACCATACAGGTTGGGCAGGTGGTCCGAGGGCACAGTGGGCAGGCCATTCACTGCCTGAAGGAAGGAATAATTGGTGAGCTGCAGAGATGGGTGGATGGGCACTGGTGCTGGCAAGGTTTTGCTACCCATTGTGGCAGCTGTAGTGGGTTCTCAATCTTGATCTGCAAAGAAAGGAAGAAGGGGGGTGGAAAGGAAAAGAGAAGTTCAACATAAGCCACCTTCCTTCTGAGTTCTAGCCCAGCCACACCCTCTCCTCCTCTAGGGCAGGAGCTCCAGCGTCTGAGACCCCACTCAGGGAGCCCACTGTCCTTACCAGTAAGGTGGGAACATAAGATGCAGGGGAGCCCTCTTTTCAGAACCCTTTCCAGTCTGAGGGCCCCTCTGAGGGCAGAGACACACCGCTTTATAGAGAGGCCAGTAGGAAACTAAATTTCATGCAAAGCAACCAACTTAAAATAAGGACCCACTGTATACAGGACACTGACAAAAGCACAAGAACAGGGAAACTGGCACGTAGAAATAGCCATGTTAGAAGGCCAGCCTGGGTTTACACATGATTACACTTCTCTGCAAAGATAACAGAAGTTAGGGAATACCCACATTCATAGACAGATAAACACAGAAATGGGCACTGACACAGATTCATGCATTCTGAAACTGAATTGACAAGAGGCAAAAGATGAACTGGAACAACCAGTGTTCTATAGCACAGTACTGGCTACGAAACGCAGAGATCATCACACACATACAGACACACACATGTAGGATCACACTGCCCCCATGAAGAGCTTCACAGACAACACACATACACGTGCGTACGGGCGTACGGTGCACACACCTCCTGGCTCCTGCATGCTTAGGTCTTCCCTCTGACCTTTAATTTGGCTTCCAGAAGCCAAAGAAGCTGTGTCATCTTTCTCAAAACTCTCAATTTTGACCCCATATTTGCTTTCCTGCCTTCCTATTAGAGAAATCCCCATATCCTTGGGGATAGCTTTTGTTTAGAGGAGGGCACAGACAACCATGAACATCTGCAGTCACATAAAATAGGGCTTCAGTGCCCTCATATCCCACAAGAGGCTGTCAGAATGTTCTTGTATTGGTGAGCCCTGGGCAGGTGGATGTGAGTATGAGCAATTAGGCCTCCATTGCTGTGGTCTGTGCACCCGCCAGCTGCAAAGTCAGGGAGCCTGAGCAAAGCCAGAGGGAAGACACACTGACATGACCTGAGACTGGCAACTGTTGGTCTCCAGCCTTCACGGAAAAGTCTAGGCTCTGCAAAGAGGCCTTTCATCTCTACCTTTACCAGACACTACAAACTTAAGTCTATCCACTGGGAGGAAAGGGCAGAGGAAAAGGAAATTTTAAAGTAGCACAGAGCCTCTGGAGGCCCAAGTGCTGAACTCCTGGCTCTGAGTTTAAGGCTACTTAAGAAGTCTTTTTCAGTGCAGGGTCTGTGGGACTCCCTTCTCCTTTGCCCATTCGCAATTCTCTGCTGCTGACGTTTTCTTTTACTGCTAATCCGTCTCCTTCTCTTCCTCAGTCCTTGTCTCTAACCTGGGGTATGCAGGTCCCTGCTTGGCTCCCTAGATCAGAGCACCACTCCTCAGGTCTAGCGGACCTCAGTCCAGGGCAAGGCCCAGGCCATACACCCCTGTCTTTTCACTGCATAGTTTTTCACTAAACACCCGGCCCTATCCAGGGATGTGCAGCAGCTATTCCCAGGATGAGTGAGGACAATCTTGACCCCAAAAACTTTTTCCCTGGAAGGTGACAGGAGAGTCGCAGGCTATGTGATGGACCCTAAGGAAAAAGGCCTTGCTGGAGGTGGCGAACAGAAATACCATGAGCCTTCTGAAATTGGCTTGCCCACGTTAAACTAGAGATCTCCCCAAATCCAATCTGACTGCTGCAATTAATTCAGCCTCGGGGCTAGGAGAGGTACACAGCTGCGGTGTCCCGACCCTGGAGCCAGAGCTCAGGCACTGCCGGCAGGGCCATGGCCTCCAAACAGTCCCTACTGCTTCAAGCACAGGTCGTGCCGGGGACAAACCGAGACCATTCCGGAGCTCTGAGACAAAGCGGAGCAAAATACGAATTGGGCCAGAGAGGAAGCTGGGACCCGTTTGGATTGGGGAAAGGGGAGAACAAGAAGACTCGCCAACTTCAAAGGTCGGCCCGGATCTAGGCGAGATGAGCGCTCTTTGATTTGCTGTCACCTCTTCTTCCCTCCAGGACCTGGAAATCAGATCCTTATCTGAGGGTCTCCGGGGCCCGCCTGGCGGCGCAGAGGCCTCAGCTTACACCTCTCAGCGCTTGCCCTATCGAAGGCCAGGCCGAGAGCGTGGCCGCGATTGGAGTCTGGGCACACCGGCTGGACCTGCTTGGTGCCCGGCTGGAAGAATCCACCAACCTCGCCAGGCCTTTTTTTTTTTTTCCCCGTTTCTCCCCTAGCCGAGAAGACCCAGCGGCCTTGGGCTCGGTAGGGGGCAGGGGGGCTTGCAGCCATCATGGCTCTTGGGAGCCAACCTTTCCGGGCTAACTGCCCGATCTTGTTTCTCCCTACACTACTTGTATTTTCCTCAGAGGTTCAGCCAGTTTTTTTTTATTTTCTGCCGCATTCTGAGGCCAGGGTTCCCCAGACTCCCGCCAACGACTTTGCTGGGGACGAAATTCGTTCGAAACGTGGCTCTTTACGCTAGTTTCAAGAATGGGCCGAAAGCACGATCAGGTTTCAGGCGGTCAGCTAAGAGAAAAACACAGCCTCGGACTGGCTTCTCCTACCGGAGAAGATGAGCCAACGCCTGGCCCCTACAGCTCCTGTTTTCCTGACCCCAGGTCTCCAGTGCAAATGCTTTCGTCTTCAAACTTAAGAAAGGAAACCTCTCTCCAGGCCAGGCATCCATTCCGCTAGAAGTTCAGGCTTTGCGACCTAAAAGACGCGAATAAGAGTCCCAACTACTCACAGTAAAGGCAATACGCGCTCGGGATCACAGATCCTTGCCCTCACAGGCTCTTTCGCCCCTCACGCGGGAAAGCGAGGGAATCCCGGGTCTGCCGCCAGCCTTATGCTGGGCATTAATGAAGTGTGCAAAGTCTATTAAAGTGGTTTATTCGGGGCTAATTGAGCGTGAGCGAGTTAACTGCTTGCATTAATTAGGACGGAGCGAACTCCATGAGCCTGCGCCTGGAGGAACCCCGCAGTAACCCAAGAAAATCATCCTTGACATCAAATTCCCAACACGAGTGGTTACAGGCGTCTGGACCCCTGTGGAGAGGGCTGACCAGCACAGATACTTCTGTAGCATTGTCTCAACTAACAGAGATCTAAGGAACCCACCCACGAGGCGCCCATTCTGCTATACTTAAACGTTTGCTGTGTCCTCAGCGATCTTCTCCCAGATCTCAATGAAACAGCAATTACTTCAAGGAGCCTGGGTTAGAACATCTACCCACCCGGTCGCTCCCTGTCCCCTCTAGCCCTTCTTTTCCCCAGGAGACCGTGAACTCCGGAGACCAGACGTGCACGTGGTTTCTGTTCTCAAGAGCCAACGCTCAGCCCTTAGCTTGGGTGAAATTTACCAAATTGTGGCAACAAAGAAACCCTCGAAGCTAACCCGCTACTGTCCCAGCTACTGAAAAAGGACTGGTCCATGGTTTTCATTCTTCTTATCTGAGATATTTCGAGAGAAAAATTAGTTCAGCAGGAAGCCCCTCGCCTCTTTTCCTCTTTCTACCTTCTCTCCTGAAGGCTGAGTTAGGGGAGAGTCAGGGGAGTAAAAGAATTCTTCCCTCCCATCCCCAGCCTGGAGACACTGGGGCTCTATAGCGTTTCCACTACTCGGGTCTGCGGGTCTTGAACTTGTAAGCAGTGCTCGACCCCTCCCCACTGTCGCCCTGCACCAGGACGCTCGAGAGTTGCCCTCCCGGCCTTGATCACACGGAGCAATCATCCTTCAAGTTCCCAAATCAGAGCGCGAGTGCGAGGTGGAGGTCGGGGACGCAGCCCTGAGCTCCCAGGTCCAGTCGGCCTCATACCAGAGCGCAACTCCTCAAAAGACAAACTCGTACTAAAGCGCTACCGGGCTGAAGCATGCACCTGTCCCCGGCGCGGTCGGCTGTGGCTGTGGCCATCCACTCACTCTCCCCACCTTTTTCGTCAGCTAACTAAAGGCAAGTTAGCCTGAACTAGGAGAGTGTCTCAGGAAAGTTTGTGCCCACTGAAGTTGCTTCTTAAAGGGGGACCGCAGAATGACTTCCGAAGTCCGCAGACACCTAGCCCTGATTCCGCCGAGCGCTGCCGGCTGGCTGCAGAAGCAGAGGCCCGCCCCCTCGCTCCCCCCAAGTCAGAGGCCGAGGACCCCGCGCGGGAATCCCTGAGCCAGCAGCACCCCCAACCATCCTGCTCTCACTTTCACAAAGATCCTGCAGCATTCCTTTGGCCAGAGCTTTTGAGGGGGGGGGGGACATTGAGAGAGAGGAGGCACCGGCCGCGCAGTGACAAGGAAAGAACCCGGGAGTCCTGCCCGCATTCTTCTTACTGAGCCCTGGCGCCCAGGGCTGCCGTTACCTTGCTCGGCGGCGGTCCCGGGGCTGAGCTAGTCACTGGGACTTTCGCTGAAGTGACCCGAGAAATCAGAGGCGCTGGAGCTCACCGGCAACCCTGGAGCTCTAGAATCCTGAATCCCTCCGGCCGCAGGGACTCCGGGCGCCAGACACGCGGGAGCGCTCAGCAGCCCCGGAGTCCTGCCCGCCGGGGACAGTGAGCTTGGCTCGCGACTCCCTCGCTGGGTCTGAACCTGGAGGGACTGAGAACGTGCTGGGGAGAGGCCGAGCTCCGACTCACTCATCCCTTAGCACCGAGCCGCCTACTTATTTTAATCCACCACCCTCCCTCTCCCCCCACCCCCCCTTGCTTCAGGATTGCTCCCCTCCCTCCGGTGCCTCACAACCCTGCCCTGCGCCTGCGCACTGAGAGACAAAGTTTTGCTGACCCGGGCAACCGACTTTGGCAGCTGCGTTCGCTTGGCCCTGGCCTCTCCCGACCTGCGTCCCCTCTTCTTCAGTCCTGCGCGATCCTTTCTGTGTTTTTAGGCCCACAGGGGAACTCCTGGAGCCCTAGAGGAAACA